CGGGGGCGGGGCGGGTCCCGGGGCGCTCGGCTCCTCTTCCGGACGCCGGCCAGTTCGCAGTAGCAGGGTTTCGTACTAACCGGGTCTGCGCCTTTCTCTCTTCCAGGATCGCCACGACGGGAGCAGCAATGGGACCCCGCGCATCCCCCACCTCTCCTCGGCCGGGCAGCACCTCTACAGCCCCGCGCCGCCGCTCTCCCACGCCGGGGTGGGCGAGTACCAGCCGCCCTACTTCCCGCCGCCCTATCAGCAGCTGGCGTACTCGCAGTCAGCCGACCCCTACTCGCACCTGGGAGAAGCCTACGCCGCCGCCATCAACCCGCTGCACCAGCCCGCGCCCACGGGCAGCCAGCAGCAGAGCTGGCCGGGCCGCCAGGGCCAGGAGGGCGCCGGCCTGCCCTCGCACCACGGCCGCCCGGCCGGCCTGCTCCCGCACCTCTCGGGGCTGGACGGGGGCTCGGTGAGCTCCCGCAGGGACGCCTACCGCCGCTCGGACCTGCTGCTGCCCCACGCGCACTCCCTGGACCCCGCGGGGCTGGCGGACAACCTCGGGCTCCATGACATGGCTCACCAGATGGACGAGGTGCAGGTGAGCCGGGGCGCCGAGGTTCCTGCGGGGGGCCAGTGTGCTCCACGGCCGGCCTCCCCCAACCCCACCGTCCCCCGAGCTTAAAGGAAACTTTGTCATTTCTCCCCCAGAATGTTGACGATCAGCACCTACTTCTGCACGATCAGACTGTTATTCGCAAAGGTAAATACTATTGCGACCCCGACTTGTGAAGTCACCCACTTACCGGCTGGTCGGGGGACCTGGGGGCCAACATGGGACATCCCCTGTGGAGGGGACCGACCGGGACTCGAGGAGGCTAGGGCGTGTTTTCTGGATCAGAAAGGATTTCTTTCCGACTGGAAGGAACAGGGGTTAGGGGCCGTCTGTGTCTGCATTTGTTCCCCGGAGCTTCCTGGGGAAATGGGACTGAGTTCTCCAGGGTCGGAGCTCTGCCTGTGCAGAGTGAGGTGGTACCCTGACTGTGAAAAACAGCCACACGGACACGCCTTGCTTGAGTGATTGGTTTCGTGGCAGTTTAAGCTGAATGAGTTGATGGGATTTTGTTTTTGATTTCAAACACTGTTTTGGGAGGGGCTCCTTCTCAGAAGAGGCTCTACAGTAGCTTGGCTTGCTTAAACTGTCGTGAAGGGAGCAGAGCTTCCAGAACTGCGGGAGGCTGGGTTTACAGGGGAGGAGAGAGACTGGGAAAATTGGGTTAGTTTGAGTAAGTGACTCGTGAAATTTAGTTCCATACGGGCAGGTTTACTAGTCTGGCTGTTTGGGGAAGTGGAGTAGACCTGGATGGACGCACTTTGAGCCAGGTGTGGTGGCACTCCCCTGTAAGCCCAGCACTGGGGAGGCTGAGGCAGGAGAATTGCTGTGAGTTTGAGGTCAGGCTGGGCTACATAGTGAGTTCAAGCCCAGCCTGTGCTACATCGCCCCTGTCTCAAAAAATGAAAACAGAAAACCGAAAACACATTAAAGCTGGTTAAGGTCTGTAGCTTTAAATTGAACGGTTTGAATGGATAGGGGCAGATGGGGTTTGGAGAATAATTGAAAAATAAACTGAAGAGCTGGGTGTGGTGGCACACGCCTGTAATCCCAGCACTCTAATCCCAGCACTCGGGAGGCTGAGGCAGGAGAATCGTTGAGTTTGAGGCCAGCCTGAGCTACAAACTGAGCTCAAGGCCAGCCTGAAATGCACAACGAGATCCTGTCTCAATAAGAAGAAAAAAAAAAAAAAAAACCTGAAAAAATCCTAGTGAACCTTCTAACAGAATGGGTTAGTTTGTATTTTGAACTTTACTATCATCAGTTGGGTTTTGGCAGAAGAGCAGAATGAGACCTGGAGCCTTCGTTGTTCTGTTGAGGGGGGAAATTCATCGTTCATTTATATTGAAAACAAATGGTCTCATTAAACAGCTTATCTGAGAAGCCGGGAACTGAAAACCCTCATGCTTGGGCTCTGCCTCATTAGCTTCCCAAGGTGTTAACTTGTGAATTTCAGATTTGATTTATTTTTGAGGAAAGAATATGACTTCCTAAGCAGTCTGCCTGCAATTCACAGTCCAGAGTGCAGGGGCTGTTCGTCCAGCGCGTGGTTTCCGTCTCTCCCGGTGGTTTTGAAAGGGTGCTTGGTGCTGCACTGTGCTGGTGACCGCCGGTCCTGCTGTCCCCACAGGTCCCATCTCTATGACTAAGAACCCCCTGAGCCTTCCCTGTCAGAAGGACCTGGTGGGAGCCGTGATGAATCCAAGCGAGGTCTTCTGCTCGGTCCCTGGAAGACTGTCCCTCCTCAGCTCCACGTCTAAATATAAAGTGACAGTGGCTGAGGTCCAGAGGCGACTGTCACCACCAGAATGCTTGAACGCCTCCCTCCTGGGCGGTGTTCTCAGAAGGTACGAGGCGAGGGAGGGGCGGGGGGCGGGGGGGGGTAGGTGCAGGTGAATGTGTGAGAGGGCCGGGAGGTATTTTTAACATTTATGTAACTTTTTATACCTAACGCTGAATTCTAATGGGCGCACAGCGAGTCTGGAGTGCATCTCTTCTCTTCTAGAAAGTGCCAAACGGAGAGGGAAGTGCTAACACAGCGCTAACAAATTATCATTTGGTTGGGGTTGGAGTCCCGTGTATGAAGCGGAGCATCTGTACTGAGCAGGGGGGGCTGCCTGGGTTTTGTTCCCCCAGGGAGCTTTTTGGGGGAGCTGTTACAGTTTTACAAGTGCAGATTTATCTGCTGCAGTATAACTTGCAGTGGTCTGTGATTTTTGTTTTTTTTGTTAAGGGAGGTAGTTCTAGGGAAGATTTTGATTTTTTTTTTTAATTATATAGGGATTAATTAGACAAGGAGCCCATGTGACTTTGGCTTATGACTGGAATGATGTAGATAGTTTTTGATGGATCACAGCTTTTGACAGCAGCACTTCTGAAGTATAGGGTCCTCACAGTGCAGCTTCCTGACAGAAGCCCATTTTTTTTCTCAGAGCTAAATCCAAAAATGGAGGCCGGTCCTTGCGGGAGAAGCTGGACAAGATAGGATTGAATCTTCCAGCCGGCAGGCGCAAGGCTGCTCATGTGACCCTCCTGACGTCCCTAGTGGAAGGTTGGTGCTGCTGTGTCCTTGCAGTGGGGCGTTTTTAATTTGTGCTTTGTGTTGTCTTTAAGATTTTCGTGTAAAAAATAAAACACAACCAAACAAACAAACCAAAAAACAACTCTAAAGATGCCGTCACAGGTCGAGGATGAAAGCAGTTTGAATTGTCTCGTTGGGTACTGGGTGCTTACATGCTCTGTTCTGGCTTCCTTGGAAAAATCTTTTAAAAAGAAGTTGGTAGCGGCATGTGGTGTTGCAGCCCTGGAATCCCAGCACTGGGGAAGCTGAACCAGGAGTATTGCAAGTTTGGGCCCATCCTGGGCCACTTAGCAACTCATGGAGACCCTGTGTCAAAATTATAAAAGGTGGGGGGCTAGGGTTGTGGTTCACAGTGGAGGCCCTGGATTTAGTCCCAGTATCACCAAAAAAAAGGTTTTTCCTAAGAAATCACACCATAGGGATGGTGAGACAGTTCCTGCTTAAATGAACCAGGCTTTGAAAGATGGCGGCTGATGATTTGGTAACTCTTTGAGCCGTCCATTACTCAGAAGTATTGGGCCTGGTTTTTGTAGCCGGTGGAATGTCGGGATTGCGGTCAGTACACACAATGGAACTGGCCCGATTCCCAGCTGCTTCTTCCCATCAAAAGGAAAAAGTAATGGAGCCCCTGGTCAGCAAAAGAGCTCCTGTCCCCAAGCATCAGATCGTAGTATGTGGCATTTCAGTTTTCTGAGTGGGAAGCCTTCCCCCCACCTGGAATGTAGCCAAGAATGCAGTACAACCTAAAGAAGGGGCCTGGGAGAAATCAATCATTTTGTTTTTTTTTTTTTAAGCGAAATCCGCAGCGCGTTGTTCCGGGACATGGCACCGTGGGTGGGTGGCTGGCAGGCTGGGTGGGTGCGGGGCTCTGACCCGGCTGGGTGAGCGGGTGCTCCCTGGAGCAGCTCAGGCTGTGGGGGACCTTATTTTCCCAGCCTGTGGCCTGACTAGGGTGCTGAGGCTTGGCCGAGCCCCTCTACCTTCTTAGGAGGGCCTGCGGAGGTCGGTGTGCAGCAAGGGCCGCTGGTGAGAATGGGACGTCCCGCGTGCCTGCGGCACCAATGCTGTCTGCGGGGCTTCCTCGCCGGCCCGGCAGGGCTGCTTGAATGGAGAGGGCGCTGGATAACGGCTCGAAGCCCGAGTCCTATGGCCAGCCATCTGGGTTTCTATGAGACTGTCTGATTGCACTTTGAGCCAGGAAAGGCGCCTCCCTCTGCTCCCCCAATAATTTGGGCAGGGGCAAGGAATGTTCCAGGCTGGTGTTTTGAGGCTCTTTTCATTTCCAATAAGAAACATGCTCCCTGCCTTGTTTCGTTTTTGTTTTGGGTTTGGTTTCTTTGTTTTGTTTGAGGGAGAGTGTCACTACATAGTCCAGGCTGGCCTTGAGCTCACTGTGCACCTCAGACTGGCCTCGAACTCGAAGTGATCCTCCTGCCTCAGCCTCTCGCGTGATTACAGGTGTGCGCCACCATGCCCGGTGCTCTTTCCTTAAAAAGAAAAAAAAAAGAAGACACATACATTCTAGAGCTGTGCCCCCTTAAGTAACAGGGCTCCTTTAAAAAAAAGAAAATGAAGCCAGGCATGGTGCACACCTATAATCCCAGCACTCTGGAGGCTGAGGCAAGAGGATCGCAAGTCTGAGCGCAGCCTTAGCAAGTTCAGCAGTCAGCCAGGACTGCTTAGTGAGACCTGACCCTGTATTCTCAGAACCAAACAGTTTTATTTGGTCAGTCCCTTGAATGTTTTGTGCTTCCGACAGTTACTCTTATCAAGAGAAAGCACAAGCATGTCTGATTCTGCTCATCAGGGAAGAGTGGATTTCTTATAAGCACAGTTAATAATCTGAGTTATTTTTGTTTGTTTGTTTGTTTTTGGTACCAGGGATCGAACTCAGGACCTTGCGCTAGCCAGGCAGGCGCTTATGCCACTGAGCTATATCCCCGGCCAATAATCTGAGTTAAAAACCGAGGAGTCCTTGCCCTTCCCGTGGTATGACCCTCACTCACTTCAGTATTCCCGGGGTACTGCACCGGTCCACGTACCCTGGAGCTCCACCTCCCTGCGGGAGTGTTTGTCCTGGGTATGCTTTCATTTTAGAATGCAGAGTGACTGATAGACAGTGAGTGCAGAAAAAGAGAAGGGACGGTTCACAAACAGGGACCACGGTCATCACAAAATAACTAAATCTGTCACCACTGGTGATGGTTCTAGGTGAAGCAGTTCACCTGGCCCGTGACTTTGCATACGTCTGTGAAGCGGAGTTTCCTAGTAAACCAGTGGCCGAGTATTTAACCCGACTTCATCTTGGAGGACGAAACGAGATGGCAAATAGGAAGAATATGCTCCTGGCTGCACAGTAAGTATCCAGGTTGCTCTTGAAGTTGAGGATTCAGCACAGTCCCTTGCGCTCCAATAAAGGAGCAGTCATGAAATACAACGCAGTAGCAGAAGAGAGGGTCTTTTTTTTTTTTTTTTTTTTGGTGCCAGGAATTGAACTCATGACCTCATGCTTGCCAGGCAGGTGCTATGCCACTGGGCTATATCCCCAGCCCTAATTTCTTTTTTTTTTTTTTTTCTTATTAAGCGACAGGGTTTTGCTATGCAGTTCAGGCTGGCCTTGAGCTCACTTTGTAGCCCAGGCTGGTCTCAAACTTGCAACGATCCTCCTGCCTCGGCCTCCCAGTGCTGGGATTACAGGCATGTGCCACCATGCTAGGCCTCCTAATTTCATTTTTGAGAGAGTGTCTTCTGAAGTTGCCCAAGCTGAGCTAGAACTTTTGATCCTCCTGCCGCAGCCTCCTGAGTGGCAAGATTTGTTGTTTTTTAAAGTGTAAAAATCGGGGAAATCACAGGAGGTTTGAGCAAATTCAGTGTCTCAGAAGCTCTTTAATGTAGCTGTGGAGTTGCTCTTAGGAACCAGCAATGAGTTGATTTCCAATCACATTCAATTAAGAAGAGCTGGTCGCCTTGGGAAAGCAGGTAAGAGGGCAGGGAACCAGCTTGAGCAAAGGGCATGCGTTTTGTGGAGGTGATGATTTTCTGGGTTCCTGATTAGGGTTTATTTGTACCAACATAAACTGTCCCTCAACTTGGAGGTCCTGGTGACCTTGGCCAGCTGATTAGGGTTAATCCTGTTATCTTTTCTAATTGCGGTGGGGGATTAAATGAGATAGTGCTTAGACAACCCTTAGCTCAGAGCCAGGCGCATAATAGGTGCTAAGTGCTGCAGGGTGGTACACACAACTGTCCCATGGGGTCCTGTGCTCCCGGGACAGTTACAGGAACATGATACATTCAAACCAGAGCTGCCTGGCAACGCATGCCTTACGCATCAGGAGCGCCTTAAACGGCTCTCCTTCTAGCCCAGCAGCTCTGATGGAACTTCTGGGTGTCGTTGGGTCCTTGTTCCTCAGTTGGGAAGTGCTAAATAAAACTAACAGGGACCTCACTGACTGTCTTCCTCGCAGGCAAGTGTGCAAGGAGTTCACAGACCTCCTCAATCAAGACCGGACCCCCAACGGGAACAACAGGCCCACCCCGGTGTTGGAGGCGAACATCCAGAACTGCTTGTCTCATTTCAGCCTGATTACCCATGGCTTCGGCAGCCAGGCCATCTGCGCCGCCGTGTCCGCCTTGCAGAACTACATCAAAGAGGCCCTGATCATGATAGACAAGTCCTATATGAACCCCGGAGAGCAGAGTCCAGCGGATTCTAACAAGACTCTGGAGAAAATGGAGAAGCACCGCAAGTGACACTGGGCGGACACAGGGCGGGAGAGTTAGAAGGGCGAGGACTGCGAGATCGATCCCTTCCTGCTCCCGACAGTCTGCCAAGCCCTCGAGCCTGGGGAAGCGCTCACTACCTACCTGATCTGTGCCTGGCTCAATGGCGATTCTGATTTTTCCTCTTGGACTCGTTGATTTCTCAAGCGTTGAAGTATCTTAACTCTGGACATTGGATCCCAAGGTGACAAGTGCTGGGTTTTGCTTTTGTTATGTATTGAGCGTTTATACATTGGAACCCCACTCATCCTTTCCCTCAAAGTGGTGCTTCAAGTTTTAAAATCAATAAACTGCCTGGGCCTCACAAGAAACCATACACTTGGCTGTTGTGATGTCAGATTGACATGAATGACATGAACAGATCGACAGCGTATTTTTTCAGTGTTAAGATACAATGGCTGGTTTTTGCATCCACTACATATTTATCATAAAAAACGAGTATTTATCTAGGTTCTTCAACAATCCCGTGTGCCAGCGGGAGGCGGAGGTTCTGTGTGCCTAGGAGCTGGTGAACGGGTGATATTTGACACACTTTGAACCCCAAGTTCAAAGGGGGCCTTCTGATTTTAGAAAACTTGGAGAAACAAAGCCTGCTGATTTCGTTTTTCTTGTCTTGTTTTAACTTGGAAAGTTAACTCTTTCAATGGGGACCTCTTGCAAATGGACCTGATCCTGTAAGGTACTAAAGCTTTATTTGCATATTTATTGCAGATCTTGATTTTTTTTTTTTTTTTTTTGAGTAAACTTGAAAAGGGTAGGCACAAAGCCTGGCAGCTGCCTGTCGCCCCCGCCCCCCAGTCCCTGCGGAGCTCTGTATTTTGAGAAACAAGTGTGTTGTGTGTACAGATTTTATTTATGCATAATTTAATGGGGTCTGTAAATACTGGTGTACTTCTATGACTTTTTTGAGAAATGGGATTCGATTTTAATATTAACTTTTAATGGTGGTGGGGTAATCTATAACACATCTTTAGACTTTATCGTACGTACACAGGGTATTAAGACTTGAGACGATACTTGGATTGGAAGATTCTATTTAACTGGAGCTCTCAGGAAGCAGTCACTGTATCTCGTTCCCGTGGGCTCATTCCTGAGCTGCGTGTGTGGGTGGAGTTTGTGTGGGTGAGACGGAGAGGTGAAGCTGAACTCTTACTTCTGTAAATGGTCCTCTAATAATTGCTGTGTATGGTACTTGTATAATAAAAGTATTCTCAGTAGAATCTGTGAATGTCTGGTTCTAACTTGATTTTTTTTCAGTCCCTCAGATGAGGGGGCTAGCAGAGCTGGTGGCTGCTTTGAACGGGGGCCTAGTACAATAGGCTGAGCAGGAGAGCTGTGTGTGCTGAGGAGAGACCTGAAATTCCATTTTCTCTCCCTAATGAGGCTGCTTAGTCGCTCTAGGTCTTTACCACCAGTGTGGTGAGCACGGGTCCTGGGAATCAGAGGGACAGTTGGCATCTGAGACTGAGGGTCCAGCTTTTTCTTGAGTTGAACCCAGGGCCTCGGGCACTGGCACCCTGGCTTAGGGCCAGCGTTTGGAGAACAAGGTCTCCTGTCAGGGCCCTCCATGGAGGCCAGTGCCTCACTGAGCTGTCCTCGGTTCTCACGTGACGATGCGGATGGCGTGGACATGAGACCAGGACAGGTGTCCTCGGGCACAGGCACTCCTTGGGCACTGGAAGGCACTGAAGCCAGTACGAGCCGGAGGTGTAAGCTGTGGGTGTAGTTAACGCGTGGAAATTCTCTATCCTTGGGAATGAGCCCCAGCCATCTGCCTAAGGCGTCCAAGCCACTTTACCTGCCTTCCAGCTCTATGCTCCTTAGGGAGCGCAGGAGTCTGACGGGCTGTGGACTCGCTGGACGTTCGCAGGAACCTTGGAAGCCCATCTGCAGGACTGGATTTCAAGTGGAAGTGGCCTGGCACACCCCCCCAGGAGGTGATCACATTCATAGTTGGGCGTGTATGGCCGACCTGCGAAGGGAAGTGGGAGCAAAAGGATTTTCCACACTGCATAAGGCCACCGCCTCCAGTCTGGTCTCATAATTCTTAATTCATAATTTTCCACCATGTGCTCAGCAATTCCTGACTTGGGGTTGGCACTGGATGTCATTAAGTAATTTAAGCCCTGCCAACCTAATACTTTGCTTTTGGCAGCTGGTCCTTGGCCGCTGAACGTTCCCATTAAGTTGGATTTATCTGGCTGATATGTCAGGATCACAAGGGCTTCACTTCGAAGCAGTGAAAGGAGGTCTTAGGTTGGCAGCGATTTCTCAATCAGGGCTTAAGACATTAGGTGTTAAAAGGACCGATGCGGGGGCTCAGGGCTGAAAGGAGAAGGATATTTCTTAGCGGCGGGCTTGCTTTGGGACTAGACGCTGGCTTTTAGGAGCTGTGCCGAATTGCAGTGCAGACAGCGCTCTGGAAATACCCCAAAGTCAACCAGGGATCGAAGTGAGTCATGAACAGGGCTCCTTGTGCCCGGCTCCTGCTTGCTTCTCCTTTACCCTCCTTCCCACTGGAAGTCCAGGGGTGGCCGCTGGTCCCTGAAATAACAGGTTCTTCTGCTGCGCACCTCGGAGCGATGCCAGGAAAGCAGAACCAGGCCCGCGAGAGGACCCTCCTGACGAGGTAGTGGCTTGAGGCTTTTCCACTGCTCTACCTGGTTTATGAAACCGGGGAGTCCTGCCCTCCCGGCTCCAGGCATCGGGAGACCCTGCACTTCTTCAGGAGTTGGAGGGCTTGCCTGGAGCTCCCCAGTGAATGGGGATCCTTGCTGCGTCTGGCTGCGGCACCCTGGCTTGCCCACAGCTAGGCTTGGTTTTCATTCAGGTGCCTGATGGTGAGGAAGAAAGAAAGTGGCTTCCCTTTCCGCACAGAAAGGAGCTCCATCCCACTGCCTGAGGTCTGCTCCTCCCCAGAACTCCTCGGTAGGAGTCATCTGTGGCTGCAGACTCCAGGAACCCCTGTACTACCTGACAGCACCTGGGTTTTCCTTAGTAACTCACAGTGCTGTCCCTTTTCCCATGTGTGTATGGTTTAGGTTGTGGGTTAGAAAGGGACAATTAGTCTGTTTCCCATTTGACACGATTCTAGAACAGCTGCCATTCTGTTTTTGGAAGGCTCTAGTGTCAGGGTAAACCGAGACCTGAAACTCCTGGGTTTAACCAGGCATAGTGGTACACGCTTGTAATCCCAACACTCCAGGAGGCTGAGGCAGGAAGGATCACAAGTTAGAGCCCAGCTGACACTGTCTCAAAACCAGCTAGGGCCGGGTGGAGTGGTGCACGCCTGTAATCCCTGCACTGGGGAGGCTGAGGCAGGAGGATCTGAGGCAGGAGATCGTTGTGAGTTTGAGAACAGCCTGGGCTACAAAGTGAGCTCAAGGCCAGCCTGAACAGCATGGTGAGATCCTGTCTCAGAAAGACCAAAAAAAAAAGGGGGCTAGGGTATAGGTTAGTGCAAAGGCCCTGGGTTCAGTCCTCCAGCACTGCAAAAAAAATAGTTACTGGATTTGAGCGTTAAAAGGTAAAGTGAAGCAAGGTAGGATCAAACAGGTAAGAAACAAAGAGAGCTTCTTTTTCCACACCCACCGCCTAGTTGCCCCGGGAAGCATCGGCTGGTGTGCATCCTGAGGACCCGAAGTGTCTCCAGTCTTTTCCTTTTGCAGCTGGGGACAGTGGCCCCCTGCAGTTCTTCCTCTGCCTCTCCAAGCTGGCGGGAACACAGAGGGTGCGGCTGGAGAGCCCGCTGTCCACCACGCAGGGGAGGCACAGCCTGCGCTCCATTTAAGCGTGTTTATGGGGGTGGAGCTTTCTGTTGGGCCTGCGAGGCCGGCAGTGACCCTTAGCAAAGTCTCCTCTGCCAGCTGAGCGCTGTGGGCGGGAAGGGTTTTCCCCCTGGTTGGAGATAAAGGCCTGCTTTCGACACTCTGGTGCCGCAACGCCCGGATGCAGCTCCCCAGGAGCAGGTGTTGCTCTTGGAGGAGTCTCAGATCTCAGTAGACCTCGGCTGCTCTGCCAGGTGACTGTCTTCACCGGCTTCTCCGAAATCTTCAGGTCACTTCCTTGGGAACCTTAGTGACACCTGGAGCCATAAAAACCTGGTTTTGCCAACGCAGACCACGGTCCCCTCTGATAGCAAGATGCCCCTGGTCGCCAGAGTCTTTCTGTGCCACTAACGTGGGATAGGCTCAGCAGAAACAGAGGACCTTAAAAGGACCTGAAAAGGTTACGCTAGAGACCGTATGTCATGGAATGCTCAATTATTTTTGGCATGGCTGTAAATGCTCTTTTCTGGATAACATCTTGATAGGGGAGATGGGAGGAGGAAAAGCTGGGGACGGAGTAAAGTTGAGAAGGCACAGTTCCAGGGGCCTGTCCACAGCATGGCTTTGTTTTTGTGTTTTATTGTTTTGTTTTTATGTTGGCTTTTTGAGATGGGGTCTCCAGAGTATTGTAGCACAGGCTGGACCGGAACTCACTGTGCAGCCCAGGCTGGCCTTGAACTCTGATCAATCTCCTCCTGAGTGCTAAGATTACAGGCATGTGCTACCACGCCCATCTTCCCGGCTGATGGCTTTGTTAAGAATGCTTATATGAGTTCGATTCCCGGCACTAAAAAGAAGAATGAGTACAAAGTCACACCTATCTCAGGTGGGTGTGGTGGCGCATGCCTGTAATCCCAGCACTCGGGAGGCTGAGGCAGGAAGATCACTGCAAGTTCAAGACCAGCCTGGGCTACAGAGTGAGCTCAAAGCCAGCCTGAGCTGCATAATGAGACCCTGTCTCAAAAAAAAAAAAAAGTCAAACATATCCCAGTTGTTTTGTTCTTAAAATGCATATAGTGTTGCTTTTCTCCACATTTCTCAAGGAGACATCTTTGCCCTAGGAATGCTCCTGTCGGGGAGGGTGAGAGTTGAGCAGGCTGAGGATGTGGTGACATTGGACCCTTGCTGAGGCTCAATGGTCTTTGGGACTTCCTGGCTGCCAGGCGTTTAACTGTGTCCAAGAAGCTGTAAAGCCCTAACCCCCAGTACCTGAGAAAGAGGGGCGTCGTTGCAGGCAAGAAAGAAGTCAGCCTGGAGGAGAGCAGGCTTCAGCCCAGTAAGATTATGTCCTTATAAGAAGGAAGAGGATGAGTATGTGGCCCATGCCTGTAATCCCAGCACTCGGGAGGCTGAAGCAGGAGGACTGCCATGAGTTCAAGGCCAGCCTGAGCTACATAGTTCAATGTCAGCCTGAAGTGCATGAGATCCCGTCTCCAAAAAAGAAAAAAAAAAAAAAAGGCTGAGGCAGGAGGATCACAAATTTGAATCCTGTCTGGGCCATTTAGTGAAATCTAGTCACAAAAGAAAAAAGTTTTAAAAGGCTGGGGATGGTTGCATTGTCCTGGGTTTAGTCTCCAGTAACACACACACACACACACACACACACACACACATCCAAAGGCAACTGGCCAGAAAGAGTAAGAAACTGTTAAAAATAAAGCAAGAAAAAAACAAAGCCAGGGGCTGGGGATATAGCTCAGCAGGCAGAAGTGCCTGCCTGGTAAGCACAAGGTCCTGAGTTCAATTCCCAGTACCAAAAAAAAAAATTGAAGCCGGGTGTGGTGGTGTACACCCATAAGCCCAGCACTTGGGAGGCTGAGGCAGGAGGATTGTTGCACATTTGAGGCAGCTTGGGCTACAAAGTGAGCTCAAGGCCAGCCTGAACTGCATGAGCTCCTATCTCTAAAAGAAAAAAACAAAAACAAAACGGATAAAAGTTCTTTTTGACATTTTGGCAAAAAAAAGAAAAGAAAAAAAGGGAAGAAATGAGCCACTGCCTGAGCTGAGAGAAGGCGGGAAGGGTCCTCCTTGGGAGTCTCAGGTGCTGGCGCACTGGACATCTGAGCAGAACCACGAGGCAGCAAAGCTCGGTGGTCTGGGTCCCCCACGAGGGCGGCGCTCGGTCACTTGGCCAAGGTGAGCGCCGCTTCCTCTGCGGCCTCCACCCCGCGCCCTCGCTGTGGGTTCCTTTCCACACGGACAGGCTCTGCGCAAAGCTGGGAAGGCCGGCTGCACGGTGAGCATCCGCCCTGCCCACGGTCACCACGGAGGCTCGTCACTGTCACATGGAGACGGCTTCCTGGCCGGCTCTTCCCTGGTAACCCCCGGGGCAAGTGGGGCCACTTCCTTGATGGCAGCTGCCTTGGCCTCGACCTCATCTTCCCAGAGCAAGTTGGATGCG